CGGAGCGCGGCTGCGAAGGTGGAGTGCACGCGCAGAGCTGAGAGAACAGTTCGGAAGGACGAGGAAAGAATCTGAGTCAGGAAGCCGGGTCGGCGACACGCTTATGTAATCAATGGGAGCACGGCGTCCAAGCCGAAGTCCTCTTTCTTGGTTCTCACCTTCTCCACCATCTCCTCATCCCCGCAGCTCCAGTCAACACAGCAACTACGTCCCTTCATCTACATCCACCACCATGTCTCTGGACAGCCCGCTTCAGCAGTCCTCTCTCGCTCTCAACAATAGCGACTTGTCCGACTATGTAAATATGGACCTTTTCACTGCGCAGGGCTCAGCCACTTCCGGCTCTCGCGAGCCCTCTCCCTCTGTGTCTACCCCCCTCTTCTCCCCCCTGCCTACCGTCTCGGAGCAGAACCCCTCAGATTGGTTTAACTTCTCTCTTGACGAAGACTTTGTTAAACCCGACCCACTCATCCCGCCTCCGGTTACCGGTGTCCCTTGGGATTTCCTCACATTCTCCAATGACACATCGGATTCTGGCGCAGCCAGTGCACCCAGCGCACTCTCCCCAACTTTCGCCATCGATCCTCAGCTTATGTCTACCCCAGCACCATCGCATGCTACAAGTGATATGGCCGAGGATGACGACAGGGCAGATCAAGTGCACGAGGAGGAAGACGAGGAGGAGGAACTCTCTACTCCTCCGCCTGCTAAAGTTGGCGGTAAAGGAAAGTCCCGGAAGGGCACCGTCCAGTCCGGCGGGGTGCAGAAGAAGGTGGCTGTGTCCGCCGTGGTCAGGGATAAGGATGAACTTATTGACGGCGATGATTGGCGTCCTTCCCCCGAGGAGTACAAGAAGATGTCAAGCAAGGAAAAGCGTCAACTCCGCAACAAGATCAGTGCTCGCAACTTCCGCGTTCGCCGCAAAGGTAAATTGATCAGCTTGTAGAGGCTGATCTCGCGTTGACGAATGACCCTAGAGTACATCACGACACTTGAGGGAGACATTGCGGAGCGCGACCGTCTCATTGATGCCATCCGCAGCGAGCTTGGCTCTAGCCAGTCGGAGAACGCTGCGCTTAGGCAGGAAATCACTGCGCTCAAGAAGGCTTTCCTCGCCTCGGCTGGCCGGGCCGATTCGCCGATGCTGCCACCGCCAGGTCCCATCCCCGCCTCAGCGCCCCCCGCTCGCGCCTCTCCACTCGTCACCCCGAACACTCAAAAGGATCTCCCGTCCTCCCCCCGTCTGGCTGCATCAGGCTCCAAGGCGTTCTGGGGTGGCAGCGCCTCATTCGGTGGAATCACCCCCGTTCACACTACCCTTATCCCCGAGAACTTTACACAGCCACTTGCGAGCGTCAAACCGCTGGCCGGTGTGCGCTCACCCAACTCTCTGCTCCAGGAGAACATAAACCCCCTGCTCAATGGAAACAATACCGGTTTGGCGGACGCCTCTTTCGGCGGTCCCACCAAACCCGATCCTTTCGACATGTTTGCCGAAGCCAACCCATTCACGCTGAAGATGCTTGATGCGTATGTCTCGCACGCCACTCACCGTGTCTCCTATTGACCATTCCTTAGATACCGTATGCAGCTCTGGACCCGTATGGCCCAGCAGCAATCGCCCGCCCAGACCCAAACTCCTGCACCTCTCACCGGCTTGGCCGCTGGCCTACGCCCCCTTTACTTCACGTCTCCACGCTCATCCTCGTCTACCCTCAGTGGCAAGCATACACCTCCCTCATCGCCGAAGCTTGGCGCGGTGCCTGCTCCCTTCACCTCGAAGGAGTCGCCTACGCCACAACAGGCGCTGCTTGCGACCATGGCTTCGCAAACTCTCTTCCAGCGCCTTGGTACTGCGGTTTGGCAGGCGTTCGCCTGCCAATCGCCATCGAACGACGCAAGCATCGGCGGTCGTGCGGCAGGCTGGGACGCGGACAAGATCCGCCGTGTTCTCGAAGGCAAGGCTGTTATCCGGATCGTCGACCTCGAGCCTGAGGAGAAACCGCGCGCCGCTCCCATGTCAGCATTCATGCAGACTAGTTCGCACGACGCGACGAAACGTGAGTGCTCGAAGGAGTGCTCAATCACGGCCGTCCTAGAGGAAAGCATGCGCGCGCTCACATTGGGGAAGAAGTAATTGTATCAAGTGTCGTCATCGTTGTGATATGTTGTCTGTTTTGTCTTGCATCGGCATTTGCATTAGCATCACCATCTCCCCTCTCTTTACCCCATCCCCGATTCAATAGCACGAGTCTCTTCTATCTCTTCCCCTTGTCTTGTCACCTTGCTCAAGGCGAGCATGGCTTTCTTCTCCTCGCTCTTTCCCCGAGGAAGTAAATGAAGCCTTCCTATCTAACACCTGAATAGTTCGAGTGGCTCGTAGACGTCCTTCTGTCTCTGTGCTGTCGACGAGTCGGCGGGGGTGTATGACCTTCTAGGCGATGGCACACTGAATCCGACACGATATTCCGTTCAGTGGGAGGTATTCTTCAGTATCCTGAACAGGAGTGCGTGGGTGACTGTTCTAAGTGGCATATGTGCGCCTCTTGCGCGCTGATCTGAGAAGCACCCCAGAAGATTGCGCGCGGGTGCGAGCCCCATTTTGTCCAGCTGTCCGCAGCGAACGCTTCGACTCGCACTGCAAGCGCGCGCGGTTTGCGGCTGGAGTGCATGTGCCCGGCGGAAGCACAGCGTTCGCGTTGGCACCAGTATCGGGAATAGCACCGAGCAGGCTGCGGCCGCGCGTCTAGTCGGCACCTGCCGCACCGACTTGGGCTTGTCCGGCGCCGCAGTGATTGCCTTCCTCCGCAGCTCCTACGCCTCGGAGCTTCTCAACATCGGGGACCGCAAATCTGAGGCTTGACTCGACCATTTGTAGGGATGCGCACTTTATTACCATCCCACACAATTGGGTCTAGCTCAGGGTAGTAGGCCCGTGGTGTCCTAGTCTCTGCACAACTGCGGCGATGGCGAGCATGTACTAGTACCGTACCAGGCGCGCTATGACGAGCATTCACCTAAGCCTGTGAACTCCTGATACAATCCGTCAACACCACCAACCGCCGCCACTGGTTGCATCTCCAATTAAAACCGTTTACGTGTTGTCCTATGCCTTGCTTGACGTCGCCACTTCTACCATCTCGGTGACGCAGGGCCGCTTGCTAGCTTGGTTTATCAGCGTCTACTACGGCTCAGTCTGCGTCCTCAGCGAGGAGGTGCATGTGGTGCAGTGCTGATTGTGGTCCTGCTCCCCTGCACACGCCGATCGTTCTGGCTCCAGGAAAACCACAAGAGCCGAAGAGGGCTTACGCAATCAACAGGGTCTGAAGCACCTTTTAGCCCATGCTTGGATTGGCGTTTGGCTTGAATGCCGTTCAGGGTGTAGATGTATTCGAGTCATGTTTTGCCCACTTCTCGACGTTGAAACCCTCCATTAGCAAAAGCTGGCTTGCTCACCATCCTCGACTACCTCTCCTATCAGTATCTGCCCACGTGCTTGATCACCCCCAAACAACAGGCGCGCGTTCGATTCAAAATCTCTGCAGGCTCAGTAGAACCCTTCTGAAAGCCCACAACCGTAGAAAAGAGAACGATCCCAAGTAAATCCGCTGCAGCTGATGCACATCCACTACGCGCAGGACGATACCCTCGGAACAGATGTCTCACTTGCTCCGCGCGTTGCCCCCGATCGGCCTGCTGGGCAGCTCACGCAGAGTGGCTCTGACACCCCAACCGGGCACCTAACTGCCACACACCTATTGGAGTCTGACGTCCGGTTCACCTTGGATTCAGTCCCAGCCCGGTCCTAGCTTGGTATGACGCTTCTTCAAGCAATCCCCCCAGCCCTAGACGTCGCGTATAAAAGGAGCCTTGCCCAGTCTCCTCTTCCCATCGTCCAGCTTACCCTTCTCCGCCTCCTCCTGCCTCTTCGCCTGTCCAGTGACTGCCGCGTCATGATGTTCTTTCACGCTACTCTCGTTCTCCTCGCTGCGGTTGCCGGTGTTTCTGCCGTCCCTGGCGCCTCCCACGCCAAGCGAGACGTGTGGATCCCGCCAATCCTCGAGCCCACTGGGAGCACAGTCTGGTACACCGGCTCGACGGTTACCGTCTCCTGGTACGCTACTTGCCCATTGGACAACGCATGGGGTTTGCTGACCGCAGTGTACCTGCAGGAACACGTCCACCCCCCCGCAGCAGGTCACGAACCCCAAAGGGACCCTCTATCTTGGGTTCTTGGAGGCCGCTGGTAAGGGAGGCGAGAATCTCGATACCAGTGCGAATCTGCTCCTTACAGCAATCGGGTAGTCGGACTCACACTTGGTCGTTGTTTTTGTAGAAAACCCCCTGGCAACGGGGTTTGACCTCCACGCCGGGAAGACCGACGTCCTAGTTCCGGAAGTTGCGTCTAAGGCTAACTATATCGTCGCTTGTGAGTGCCCTCTCTTGTTTAGTCAGTACTCGAACCTGGGCTTATAGCGATCGCAGTGCTCGGTGACTCGGGCAACATCAGCCCCCTCTTCACGATCGCTTCTAAAAAGTAGACGCTCATCCGCTACCCGTATTACCTTTTTTTCGCGCAGCAACCCTTAACATTGTACCTCACGCTGGAATGTACGACGGACGCTATGTATTCCTAGACGAACGCTTGGATGCACAATTTGCATGTATCGCACAGAAAACCATATCAATGTAACTCTACTCGTTGATTCGCTTTTTTCGATCGAAGGGGGAGGGCTGGGGTGAGACGCTTTCTCCACAGTCTCTCTATATTCTGGGAAGTAGCGAAATATCTAGTCTTGGGCTGGAGCAGCGATTGAAATTTGATCTGAGTAACATGTTGTGTACCCGCAAAGCTGATTGAACCGGCGACTTGCTCCTGCCAATTGCTTCCACCGCTTGGTGATGAATGAACATTCATACTCCAAGCATACTGAGCTGCAAAAACTGCGCTCGGGGCTCAGGGAGAAAAGACAAAAGACAATGTGCACTCCTGATTTTGAAGGTCTTGCCAGGGTTCGAACCTGGGTTTCGGGAAGATTTCAAATCGGATCCGGTGTTGGCCGGATACCCTCAAAATCCCGAGTGATAACCACTACACTACAAGACCGTGATATCTGGTGACGGCATGGGCAGCATGATCAGGCACTTACCCACGTCCACTGTGACCTGTATATTTCCCAACACGCACTTGATAGTTTTCTCTGTAGATCATAGCCACATTGCTAGCATGATGTCAGGCATCGTTGGAAGCAGAAAGCAAAATCCGCCGCCCCGTGCTGGATCCCGTTCCGAGCCCCGCGGATCTCGATTCCGAGCCCGTGTGACACTCTGTGTCACAGTCATGTGATTTGTCCAAATAGGAATTCCAATTTCTCAACTCAACATCTGTCATCAACGAAGTCCCGCCGGTCGCGTCTCTTGTCACCACTCAACGCGCATACAATCGGGGCGCATTCGTTTGCCCTGGTCTTCGGACAGCGCATACAACTCCAGAATCTGACATGTCTGCTCAAGGTGTACGACTTGGAGTGAGCGACCGACGCGACTTGCCCAACTAACTATCGACCTGGTGAGCATGGAACAGTAATGCTCTTGTCTGGGTACCTTGTTCAACCAAACTTCCCAGTGTCACGCAATCATATACTCTTCCTCTTGGGCTCCCCTAATTCCTGACGTCAATGTCTAACTTACCTACGCCCTCTGACGATGAGGATCCATTGACTCTGACTAGCTATCTCCTGAGTCCCGTCGAAGCCATCGTCCACTCGACCCAGGCCGTTGCGCCGGACTCCCTCTCACTCCACGATATCCTTGAAGCCTACCACATACTCTCTACTAGGATTCGGCGGTTGTCTAGTGACCTTGAAGCGGTCCCCATCCCGATTACAGCACTTGCACCATTACAAACCAACTGCGCGTCGATAGTGGTCGCGTTGCGGAGGGACGTCTCGCGAGCCTTACGTGTCCACGTTCAACGTGATTCGTACGAGTGCGGCGCTCGGTTCTCCGTGGCCGCGGAAGGGAGCATCTGCGTCGGGGCAGCATGCAATCCAAAGTGTGCCAGCGAATCATCATTGCTCTGTCTGTATGCCCTGCGTCTCTTGTCAGAAGTTTTCAGGCTCCCACCCCTTTCGAGTTTGTTCTCCGGTGGGTCCTCTTTTTCGATCTCAAGTCATGCTCTGACGATACTACCAGAGGGAGATCTCGGCTTACTTTTGGACGATGTCCTTATGATTACCCGCTCTCAACTTCCTTCCTTCAATGCCCCGAAGATCAGTGCAGTCGCGGGGTGGATTCTTCGAACTCAACAGCTTCCTCAAAGTGTTCTGGTTCTCCGAATTAAAGATATTTGTTCATACCTCGAAACCATCCTCGACGACAATCGCCAAGAGACTCACGATCATGTAGCTATAGTGGATGCCCTGGAGGTACGCTTGTATGTTCTGCCATTATTCCCCAAAGTTGACCGACGTTGTCAGTGCATCGTTAGCTTGATGACCAGGCATGGACCCATTTCTGTCGCGGATACCACTGAGCTGCTTCCTTTTGTTCTCCCCCTCATCATGCACTCGTCCCCCGAATTACGCCACCATGTAGCCATAGTCCTCGCGGCATTTTCCCGGACGATTACTATGCATCGAACCGTTGTCTCTCAGAAGACAATAGACACAATAGCCTTCCATACAAACGCCTTCCTTGTACCTGAAACCACCCGTAGGCCCGCGTCTTCGCGAAAGCTTGCGTTGTTGTTAGATGAAGCTGTCATCTCCAAGCACCTCGATGATGTAGGTTGCAACACACCTTGGGCGCTCACGGTGACGGCCAGCTTCACAATCATGCTCGGCGCCTCCCTATTCGCGAGTCCTGGGCCCCTCAAGCTCCTCCTCACTACTACGCACAAGGCTAAGGGTCGCCCTCTGGGACAAGCATTGCACCCTCATGTGTGGCGCACTTTTATCTGGTCAATGTCCCAGCTCCGTGCTCAGCAAAAGCCATTTACGGAGGCCAGCGTCGACATTTTCCAGCGCAGCGTCCGGGTACTCAAGCAAGCTCTAGGAAATGGTCTTGGCGGAGCTTTGGTTTCATCGTTATTGGGAGCATCACCTAGCTTAGCCGGTGGTTCCCGGAGATGGATAATCCCCAGCACCATCGATGTCGTTCGTGATATGTTGTCAAGCCAATCTGCAATCGTTCGAGAGGACGGTCTTCGGCTCCTTGTGTGCATCACATGCAAAGTTGCGACCTCTGTAGGCGACGTACCTTCGGCGTCGTGGTCCGAAGACTCTCTTCTATCACAATTCCTCCTGGACGGATCCCTTCTCCGCGCCGACAAGAGTAGAGTTGAGGAGTTGGCAGGCTTAGCGAGCTTTTTTCCGCCTAGGTGTCTATCGGAAGAGGAGGTTCTGCTCCACTGGGAGGTAGTGTTTGAGTGCCTCGTTCTCGTTGTCCAGAACCATTTCAATTATGGCGGAGTAGACCTTGCGGTAGGCTTCACGGTCTTTGATCTGCTCTCTTGCTCATTCTCGAAACAGTGCGCTGCTCTCAGCGTTTGGCAATCGCTTCTCCTTGTGAAGGCCCATCTTGATCAGGACCTCAATAATCTCGCCGAGTTTTCCTTACAGCTACCCAATCTTCTCTCTGGTTTCCTCCCGGGACCAACGATCATGCTGTCCGGAGAGGCAGATTCCCTCGAGCTCCAGATACGAGCCCTCTCGGTGCTCACACAGCTCTGGGCGGCCGTTCAAAGCATCTTTTCGCAAGCTTGGCTTGTCGCCGTCGCTTCGTCACTGTTAGCGTCTGTTTCGCGGCGCGCCTTTCACCTGTCCAACGAGGATGTCCTCAAGAACTGGTCCTCGCTATGCTCGGCTCTGATAGCAGCTGGGGTCAATGTACTTGAGCTAATCTCGGCACAAGATGACTCACAGGACACTTTAGAGTTTAAGAGGCAACTGTGGCGTCTCACTGCGACGTCCTGGAAGGAGTCCCAGTTCAGCAACTTGCAGAACACCGTCTCGTTTCTTGTTCTCCCAATGAGGTCAGTGCTCGTACCATCTCTAATGCTCCCTTCTCATCTACATGGTCATTTCATCCAGTTCATGGGAAATGTCAACTGAAGAACTTGACGTCTGGGAACAAGTCTTTGAGCGAGGTGCTTCTTCGGCTGCGGTAATATCGGTGAAAATGGTCGACGTCATCGAGGGCATATCTAGCCAGTTGTTGATCGTACTTTCAAGGTAGGCGCATCTTCTCTCCCAGCCACATCTAATATAGAAATGGTTTAGTCTTTCTATCTCCACGGCGTTGCGGCTTGCTGTAGCCATGCTTCGGCACCTTGAACTTGACGGCAAAGTATCGGTTCCTGTTAACGTTCTCACATATCTGAGCTCCGCGCTTATGGCCTCGTATTCCCGTCAACCGCATCCCGACGCGTTGGATGCAGTATTCGAAGCACTCGGTGTGCTGCACAATGTTATGATCTCGCTTCCTGCATTGTTGTTCGAGCCAGCTGTCTTACACCTACAAGCGGGTTTGGCTGTATGGATCGAAGACAAGCATGCTCTAGTGTCTGACAGCGAGTACAACGCTGATGTGCGTAATTTGTGCAATGACCAGACACAGACTAATCGTCTCCGTAGCTCGCACCTCTTTACATCTCCATCCTCAAGCGCTTGCAAGACGTTTCGCCATCTGTTGCCTCTTTGAATGCAGTGGCTCCTCTGCTTACCTCCGCATTTTCGCACATCCCACATCCAGCGAAAGGTCCCTTTGCGTTCCAGGAGTTCTTCAGTGCGGCATACAAGCGTCTCGCGTTACCCGCGAACGCATACAGAGACGATCTGCGGACGTGCGTTCAAGCCTGCGTGCGCATTCATGACGGAAAATTGCCAGTGGGCATGGAGCCCTTGAGCTCAAGCTCACAGACACAGACACAATTTCACAATGGAGGGGCACATTTGTCGATACAAGCAGTCACACCACCAGTCTCCGGAAACAACGCGAGAACACAGGATTTGGATACACCCTCGATGGAGGTAATTAAATGCTTATCTTTAGGCCGTAATCATGCCTCATAGCTCCCCTGTGATGCAGTGTGGTATATTTCCGGATTCACTATTTGGGACTCTAGCTGCGGCAGTGCCACCACCAAGATCAATCCCTGAGTTTATCCAGGGTTCTACGTGGCAACGACTCCAGCCAGCCGGTAGCCCCAAAGTCGTCGCAGTGCCACAGCTTGAGGACGATTCACCGGTGAATGGCGACGTCCAAAGGAAACTCACGGAACCATCACGCTCCACAATCAATCCCAAGAAACGTAGTGCATCAGACAATGCGTCTGCGGCCAAACGCCGATGTTCATCCTCTAGTCACGAGCTTCACACACGCTCGGCGCCGCTTACGCGGACCTCATCGCCTGTAGACAGTAACTGGAGGTCACACTCGACTCAGAAGGCAGTTCCGCGCTCAAAGATGGTCATGGACTGCGTCGAGCTCGTGCCTCTTCGCGAAATATTGCGCCGTCGGAAGGCCCAACCCAAGCGGGCTGACGAACGAATGCAACCTACTCCGTACGAAGACTACGAATCTTGGGAAGTCACACCAGACACGCCGTTTGTACGCAGGACGATACGGGAATTGTTGGCAGGTGACGAGATCGGTGAGGCTCTTTGACACCGATATGACCTGGTTGCCAAGCGAACATGATTCCCGCACGTAGTACCCGAAACGCCGGACGTTTACCAGCGCAGTGGACAGACATCTCCTCCCGCGCGTCGTGTGCCAGGTGATTAGGCATCCACCCCTGTTGCAACTCACTTCTGACCGAGGAATTAAGACCTGCATGAGGGCCCTTTGAGACCGCCTGCCCTGCCACAGCCTCTCACACGCGCTGCTACACCATCGTCACGGTTCACAGCCGTCATGAACGAGGTGCAAGATGTATTTCTGCAAGCGGGGGTATCGCAGTTGCCCACGCACGAGCTGGCAACCTCAGTACGGCTCTTCGAGGCAGCTAGCAAGAATGTGCTACGAGCGCTTGCGAAGAATGCTGGCGCATCCGATGCGGGACCCACCTGCGAGCAGGCGCCCGTACGGCATGGAAGCTGTTAA